CCCCAACCCCAACCCCAAACCCAAACCCAAACCCAAACCCAACCCCAAACCCAAACCCAAACCCAAACCCAAACCCAACAGTAGGATTTTAGGGGCCAATTTCTCTTCGAAATCCTGTCAATTTTTCCCCTAGATTCCTAATGTCATCTCTTACTTCATTTTTAGAGATGAGCCTAAACAGCCCGAGTTTATTCTGTATTTCTATTTGTTTAGGGGAGGAGATGGGAATCTCAGTCATAGTTGGGACACCCATTCTGTCACATTTATGTTATCACCGTTATGGGAGCCTTCAGGCATTACCGGAGAGCCATCCAGCAACTTCCAGGATCAACTATGAAACCCAGTCCCAGAATAATTAACTTTTATTTGGGGACTCCTGTCAAAATTAAAGTTAATATAATTTTATAGTAAATGAAAAACGAATTTAAAGATAAAGAACTAAAATGTTTTTAGAAATTGAACAAGGTTTTAAAGTGTCGATTATGAATAAATATAAATGTTAGAATTCACAGTTTATCTTTCTCCCTAATTTTCTCATGCTATTAACTATTTGATCAAAGGGCAAGAATCAGTAATGCTAAATTCTTAACAAAACAAATTGCTTTAATATTGCACCTATTTATTCCGTATAATCAGTTATTGCAATTTGGCTATTGGGTTTTAACGTCAGATATTGACTTTATAAGAAAATGATTTTTTTGAGAAAACAAACTCAAGTTGAAATTTGAAGAGGTAATTTTTTTAAATTAAAAAAATTGAAATCTCAAGAACGTTCATATTCTATTTTAATTTTAAAAAAAAGAATGTTTTGCCTGAAAGATATTGGGGGTTTTAAAATTATTTCAAGGCTATGAGTACATTTACAAGAGTTTAAACAGAAAAATGAAGAGTAAGGTGGAAGGAGAATAGTTGGAAGCAAGGAGAAAAATATCTTTAAAATTAAAAACACAAGGGTATTGGTATTGTAATGGAGAATATATAACTCATCAGAAAGAAAATTACTTGTTCTAATATGATGGATCATCGCTGGAGTCTTTCATAAAAGTGGGTTGAGAAGATTACAACAATACTTAACTCTATTGAAGAAACATAGAAAAAATTAGATCAAAAAACTCAAAAGAGTTTGAAAGATCAGATAGGAAAAATTGGCAATAAAATGAAGGAATTTAATGGGAAGGAGTGTGAATAATATGAAAGAAAAGACTTTTAGAAATTGATTAATGGATTTCTATAATAAATAAATAGTTCTTATAAATTAAAAAATTGATTTATTCAACTCTATTTTTTTCTTTGGCTTTAAAATATTTAGGTTAATCATAATGAGGAATAGCTCCTTATGTTACTAATATATTTTATCAAAAAAGAGAATTTTGTATTATGACTATCAGTTTAACAGACAATTTATTTCTAAAAGAGAAGAGATGTAAAACATTGATTATATTTTATATTTCAATTCACATAAAAAGAGAACCAAAATTATGAAACAAGAAAAATTTTTATTGATCAATTGCATTTTTACTTAATAACAGCTGATAAAAGCCTTAAATTATTAGCTTTACATTTCAAAAGCTTAGTGGATTTTTAACCCAAAAGTAGTTGTTATAGAAGAGTACAGACATTTATACAAAGCATAATCTAGAAATTGGCATCCCAAAGTATCTGAAAGCCTTTATAAAGGCATAATAGTTTGATGGTATCCCCTAGCTTTCCTCAAATGTATCATCTGTTTCTTTGAGAATCCAATTTCTATTCAGAAATTATTTTTCAAATGTAGAACCGAGGAGAGAAGTTAACTTTTTGAAGGCTAAAATATATTCAATTAATGGAAGGCATCATAATGGCTTGATAGTTATGGGCATTAACTAAAAAATAACATAAAGTGAAATTGATTAGGAAATGATTATGATCCTTTGTCTTATATTATTGTAAATTAGTTTCTCTATGGAACCTTAACCTTTATGTTTCTTTTAAATTCTTTTTTTTAATTGTCCTCAAAATTCATATATACTTTCATAGCCTCTAAGAAAAGGTAAGTTAACGTTTTTTCTTCTAAATAATTAGAGTTGTTGTTATTTATATTTAAAATTTCAATTTATTGAGTTAAGAAATTGTTCATATATTTCTAATAAATACTATTTTATGTATAAATTTTCCTTTGCTTTTCTAAACCCCTTTGTCTTTAACATCAAATTCAAAAACATTCTTGTATATAATAGCTTAAATAACCCGTATAATATTATATTTATAAATTTATAATCAAATCATTATTATTATCTTATTTCAGATTTATAGTTTTTTGAGGATTCACTTACTTCGCCTATTTCTATATACATTTAAAGTATTTTTATTTCTTTGAGAAAAAATCGTCTAAATAAAATATCCAAATCATAGAATTAACTACCAATTGTGAATACAATATTCATAATAATTGTCGAGATGTTTATCTATAAAAACCTTATGAAAGTATTAAAAAGTCATGAAAATTTGACTAATTTACTTTTGTGAATAAAGTGGAACCTAAAATCATTTGTTTAAGCTTTGAGTTATTTTAAATGAAAATTGAAAATGGGTTATCAGAAATAAACAGAATGTTCCCTCTTAAATCTTGCCTATATAAATTTATACAGAATAATAGAGAAATGAATTAAAACTAATTGTATGAACCTAAGCTTCTTAAAAATAATCCTTAGTATTCAAATTCGACCGAATAAAAATACTACTAAAACAATACTAAAATGCTTGTTTGTTATGACCTAGGAAAAAAAGAATTGATACCATTAAAATTGGCAAAGTATTCAGCCAAGATTTTACCTGGATTTTGTATTGTAAAATTAGAAATAACATATTCTACTGAAAAATATACGGAGCCCATAGAGCTGGAAAGTGTATTTTCAATTAATGAAAATGCTGCTGTTACAAAAATGGTTGTAGAATTAGGAGAAATTAAAGTTTATTGTGCAGTAAAGGAAAAGAAGTAAGCTGAAAAAGAATATCAGGAAGGTCTGAAATAAGGAAAGACTATGGCATATAGTGATTAGGATTCGAATTTCCCTTCAATAAAGAGAGTGAAAATAGGATAACTTGCACCAAATAAATTATTGAAAATTACTTTTGAATATATACACCCTCTAGAAGTCTTTCTTAATAAATTTTGGAAATTCGAACTATTTCCAGTTATTGATTAAAATTATGTACATTTTGATAAGTAAAAAATGATTGGCATTCATGATGAAGAACTCAATAGATATTTAAATCAATTATTTAAGATTAATAATTTCAGGTTTGAATTTAGGTAAGAAATATAAGTGGAGATAGATTTTGAATACCCAATTACATTTTGGAAATCTCCTACTCATAAACTTTAATCTACAAATGCTAAAAATCGTTCAGACATTCAAACAGAAGGAAATTAAAAAAAAATAATACTTTAATTATAAGATATTCCTGAGAACTATGAACCAACCAAATAGTTTACTTTACTTTTTTCATCAGATGAAGTTAATTTGCCTCGTGCTATCTTGAGTCATACTGATAATGATGCCTTGCAATATTAAAGATATTGTGCTACATTAACCTTCATTCCAAAATTTAATGAAGTTTCACTAGATGATGCTTATACATAATATTTAGATGGTTTAAGTATGGCTGACAATTAAGTAATTAATAGAGGCAACTACTTATTCATAATTGATCGAAGTGGATCAATGAGTGGATCTAGGATCAAAAAAGCCAAAGAAGCTCTAATTCTTTTTCTGAGAAGCTTACCTTAAGATTCTGAGTTTAACATAATTTCATTTGGTAGTTAATATTAACCGTTGTATGAAGTCTCCAAAAGATATACTCAAGAATTTTTAGAATAGGCAATTTTGCATGTTGAAAAAATGGAAGCTGATATGGGAGGAACTGAAATACTGACTCCATTAAAGAGCATGGTATATGACGCAAGTTACGGTAAATCCAAAAATACAACTCTGAATGTATTTTTGCTGACTGACGGAGAGACAAGTGCTGATCCTATTATTGAATTGGTTAAATCTAATAATCGAGCGCAAACCAGAATCTACACATTAGGAATAGGTTAAGGATGTAGTTAATATTTGATCAAAAGTGTGGCTGAAGTAGGAAATGGCAAATATCAAATTGTTAGTGATAAGGAAGATATAAATGAGAAAGTGATTGACCTATTAGAAGATTCATTAACTCCATATTTATAAGCGTTTACATTAGAATCAAATGTGGTTAATGTAGCGTCTATTATTCCCAATCCAGAATCAATAGTATGTTTAAAGAAAAATTAGGAACTTACAATATAAGTTTTGTTTCCTATGGAATAATAATATGAAAATCTCGAGTTTAAGATCAATTGTTTTGATCCCTAAAATTAAAAAAAAATACAATATTCTGTAAGATTAAACCTGAATTAATCTTTAAACAATGAATATTTTCATAAATTGGCAGCCTATAAATTAATTACTTATTATGAAAACTCAATAAAATATAATTAACAACAAGTGAATTTTATCAAACTTAATAAGGAGAATCTTGATTAATAAGATATTATTGATTTATCTGTTTAAAATCAAATTCTATGTTCAAAAACAGCATTTGTAAGCCAACTTTGTGATTTAGAGGATTAATTTAAATAATAAATTCAATCAGTCAAACAAGACTAAATGATGACGTGGTAATCTATAGGTTACGATCGATATTAAAATTAAATTCAACGGTAAGATTATCAATCAAGGTGTTCTTTAATTATTGATCAAAATGACATATAGCAATAATATTAGCGAAGTTGCTTTGATATTGATCAAAGTATGACATCGTAACGTGTCGTGAATTCATTTAATCATTAACTCAAATAAAATGATGTTATGTGTTGTATAAATGACAATTTGAGATTGAAAGAAACTAAGTAAAATAATAAAAGTTCAGCCGGTTGCTGTGGAGGTGGAGGCTCTTAAAATAATTATGACAAATTCAGCTAAATATCTTACATTCCTCGACAATAGTAATAATAACCTTAATACTCTCAACCATTATTAGAAAAATAACCGTAAAACAACATAAATATAAATCAGACATGCAAAACAGATTATGCTAACCTTACTTATGAACAATTAATTAGATTTGCTTTAGCAGATGGTAGTTTTAGAATCAATAAAGAAATGCAATAAATAATCAATTATAAAAATTTGAAAAATCATGAAAATCAAAAGGATGACGTTTGGAATACTTTCCTAGCGTTATTATACTTAGAATATAAGTTTAGCCAATTTAAAAAATCGTGGTAGTTGGTTTATTAAAAAGGTATCTCATATCTAAAACAGAATGGAGTAGATTACAAATAAAAGAAAATTGAATATTTGATTAAATGAAATTCACATAAATATTTATATCATCTATTGAGTTATTATTGTAATTTAAAGCAAGGAAGGATAATATTGTCAATATAGCATTGACTACTCTCGATATATATATAATAAAATATTAGATTCCTCTAAATATTTTATAACGATATCCTATCATGATTTAGTTGTTGGTAGGTAATTAATGAACATGTAAATGAAATACCATTCTATCAATTAATTAATATCCTGATTAATTGAAATCTTGGATATAGATGGACATATTTTAATGATGCAGTTCTAATAATCGAAAATTGAATATTGTGTAAATTAACATTATGATGAAGGCATCTATTTCTATTTATCCCTATTCTTACTTTTTTATATACATATATTTTATTTTTTACTGTAAGTTTTGAACTCTCAATAAAATTTTTGGTTGTTGCATATCAATAACAATTCATGTTTTCTTAATATAAAAATAGTTCATGATTCTTAGATTTGGTGTGTGAGCAAAACATGATATATTAAAATATTGTTATGTTTTGAACATCTTCTGTTATTTTGCTAGTCTAATTTACTTAGACAGTCAGCTGTGAAATATCGCCATGAAAATGGTTAATTTGTAAAGATATTTAGAGAGCATCAAATTTTATTGTATTTCTTGTGTAATAAATATTGTCGATAATTGCTAAAGTTTCAACATGAGCATCGTGATTTAGTTGAGTTTCACAGTACTTAGATTGAGCTATTTTTCTTGAACATTTTAGGAAAATTGGATTGGTTGCTCAATACCTTAATCCGAAACTCGCTTTCTAACTCTTTGGATGCCTCTTTCGTCAAAAAATGATTTTATATGAGTTATGGCAATCTAGCTTTGATAAATTATTTAAGAGATTTCTAAGCAATTAAAAAATTTCTTTTCTTTTTGTCAAATATTCTTTTTGTTTGAAGGAGTTTAGATTTTAAGAGGGCAGTTCGCAGATTTCAGTTTGAAGCCAAGCTTTAGACAAATTTTTTGGCAATTTTAAAAAATTCAAAAAATATTCTGTTTTTAATAGAGCTTGGTTTTGAACTATGTAGGGATAATTTTAATTTTAGAGATCTAAAAACCTAAGATATTTAACTTGTCCGATTCTGTTAATGTTTTACCATCTCTTGACTATACTATTATATAATAAAAAAGTTTACAGGAACTTGTTTATTCATCTCTAAAGAAAAATAATTATTTTCTATTAGAATATAAAGTTTTTGAGATTTTCAATTTTTTTGTTTTGTTATGAAGAAGTTCTTCGAAGGAGTGATTTTTGATTTTCCTATTATTTCCTTTTTTTCCGAAGTTACCGTTCAATATTAGCCTTCAATTCATCTATTTTTTTTTTTAATTCAATGTATTTTTCTTGAGATCTTTCTCTAAAGATATGATATGTATTTCGAAGAACTTCCTGATTCTAGTTTTTTGAAGATCGATATGTCTTCCAAATCTCTTTAATTTGTTGAGGTGAATATGCTTCTTTT